TCCTCAGGGTGCGTGCGTTGTACGTTGCCAGGTCGAGTCGTCTAAGGTGGCAACCGAACCTCCACCGGAGATTCTTAGCACCCCCTGCCCCGCCGTTACCATGGTCGCCACCGTAGCCAGGAATAGCGGGGCCGCCGGGGACTGGGGGCCGTCTCTTTGTTACATTCATAGGGGGGTATTTGCCATAGTTGCCACGCTTGGCGAGCGGGTTGGCAACCGCAGTTTTTTTATTGTAATTTTGGCTATTATCAGGAAGATGCTGCTGCCCGTCTCCTGCCTGTTTCCCTTTGTCGCCTTTTACGACACCCACGGGAGGATATGGGGTAGTGGATATTCTTGACCGCCACTACACGGTTGAAGAACATCTATACAAATAAATAAAATTGAAGTGTCTGTTTGTAATGTCAAAATAACAGTTTTTTACTAAATGCATATGAAAGTAAATACGGTACTAATAACTAAAATACAATTTTTAAAATTTTTGTCTGTCTGTCTGTTTGTTCCGGCTAATCTCCGAAACGGCTGGACCAATTTTGACGGGACTTTTTCTGGCAGATAGCTTATTTCATAAGGAGTAACTTAGGTTACTTTTATTTTAGAAAAAGAATTAGGATTCCGCGCAAAAACATAAAAACCCTAACACGCGAGCGAAGTCGCGGGGAACAGCTAATTATGAATAATAATACTCGCCGATAATAATTCACGATGTTTATGCTTAGCAGTTCGCTTCCTTTAGTCAATGCTACTGCTTAGTCTTTCTTGATATACATATATGCAAAGGACGCTACCTGTTATGTAGGTACATTTATTACGCGGATTGAACGTGTTGTTTGTATCGTAGTTATCGCCGGCTTGTGACCTTACGGCGTCCTTATAAACAACGGCCTGCTGTCTGCAATCAGCTCTTGAGGCGCTCCGCCAAGGTTAGTAGCTAACTAACAAGGGATATAGAATTGTAATCAAAATGTATTTACCGCCAGACTTAAAACAGCCTATTCTATAACCGTAATCGACACTTGGCAGGCGAATTGTATCGTAGATAGTTTCAATATTTTTGTTTTGGTATACGCCGGAAGTTTTCCACATTAGACGTTCGGCAGTCCGCCGGTCTGTGTAAATGAAGTTTGTCAGATGCTTTTGGCAATGGCCTCAACGTTTTACCTGACTGCGGTTAACACCCAAAAGTAGGTTAATATTACTAAGTTCATATCAATGTCCTCCTCTAAAATCTAAACTAGTTGTCATTATTAACATAAGGCATGCACAGGTAAAAAAATCACCGACCTTAAAATGAGTACATTCTAAATATACGAAAGGTCACGTAGAACGTTTCGCGAAAAAAAAGGTTTTTTTTATTTCATACTGGCCATCATAATTTATTAGGAAAATAAGAGTATATATTTGTATGGGTGGTAGAGCCAAGCTGCAGCTATATTAGTAATATAGTTGTAGCACGAGTGGGTCGGCACGACCGGGGAAGGACCTCGCTCTCACAGAATACCCGCGTAAAATAGCAGCTAAACACTGTTGTGTTTCGAATGGTGAGTGTAGAGAATCGGAGACCCTTTTCACTGGAAATAGGCATTCCACCTTAGTCCTCACGGATGACAACGCATCTGCATTTTGATTCTTTATTGAGGATAGATGTAGATGTCTATGGGTGAAAGCAACCACTTAAAATCAGGTGGACTGTGTGCTCTTTTGTCACTCTATCCTATAAAAAATGTACTATATACCTCCACATTTTTACGACCTAAATTGAAATTTGATTAATTGAAAAATTGATCTGCTTCGGGATTATTTTATCAATCAATTTCACCATTACAAATGTCGTTTAAACCCGGACGAATCATTTGATAAATTTCAAATGACATTTATGGTAAAGGTTGTTCTAAGTCACCGTGTAACGTTGGTGTAACAGATTTCTTAGATTTCTTTAAGTAACTTTTAGAGATGTAGACTGCGATCACTAATATCTATTAGTGACTGAAGGATTTAGAAAGATGTGATCGCACCTTGACGGCTGTCAGAAACGTACGCGCAGTGAAGTTTTTTTTATGGGAATAAGCGAATTACGTATGAAGAGATTCAGCACATATATAATGCAATTTAGATCGGGAAGCGTCTACAACATTTTACACGAACATTTACTCAATGTATAGTTTCGCTTTGGATGTCGCAAAACCTTTCGGGTGAAATGGTACATACCATGACATAATTACTACATACATAACTCAGAAATGAGAGTACATAACTCGGAAATGAGAGTCCATAACTCGGAAATGAGAGTTCATAACTCAGAAATGAGAGTCCATTACTCAGAATTGAGAGTCCATAACTCGGAAATGAGTGTCCATAGCTCGGAAATGACAGTACATAACTCAGAAATGAGAGTCCATAACTCAGAAATAAGAGGACGCCTGTATCCAATAGCGAGACGTATATAAGCAGTATTGACTGCCTCGTTAGTCTTGTGTTTGTAAGCGCATTTGCTGATCATGTGGTCTCGGGTTATTCTGCCAAGAAATTCTCAGTAGTCCAGAGTCAGAATTTGACGGTGTTTGACCACTAGAAAAGCACGTAAAGCCGTTGGTCTGGTACCTGATCTTTCTCCGGTCGTGTCGGATTGCCGTCCAATGGGACTATGAGGTAATAAAGAGTGCACCTGCGCTTGCGCACACACTATATGCTATCAGTCAGATGGCTTGTCTTCGTTGTGCCCGGCCGCCGTGACCGACATCCGGTCTGGAGGACGTTACATTATAGGACTGTCACTTTATTTCTTACTTCTTTACTAGACCATAACTGCATTACGAGTTACGACTAATGCTGCGGTAGGGCTCTTCATCTAATTCTTATAAGGACGATTTGCAGTAAATACACGCTTGACTGTCGCCAATTTGATAAGTTTCTAGTCTTGAGGTTAAATAACTAAGGATGTCAATATAATTTCATATATTAATTTATAATAGAGCTACAGCTTCTATGGTTGTGGTTCTAACGTAAAAGTTTTAAGCTAGAATCCGCCGTTATTACTTAATTTTCATACTGTTGTTAGTATTTTTACAATATGACCTACATAATGATTTCTTACATTTACGAGAACAGTAAACAATGAACAAAACAACTCTTCCGGATTTTGTCGCGTTTAATTTTAGTTATTTTTAATTTCCGATGTTTCAAATCAAATGAAATCCGTTTATTTTATGAACATTGGTTAATTTACAGATCTCGATATGTACATAATAAATATAAAGTAGGTTCTCTATGTCAGTAGGCATACAAAATATAAAATGAATAAGTCCATCATTAATTGGTAACATTCTTAAAAAATCTCTTCTGATGTCAGGTTCTAATTGAAATCATTATATAATAATTATGAAAAATTTAAAGATAATAAAGTGTACATACAATAATTGAGTGCTTTAGCTGGTCACGAGGCGTTTGACGTCCCGATTTTATTCAATATGACCTACAAAATAATTGTGCCGTATGTGCCTATGTGTAATTTATATATGCAAAACCTCCATGTCAGGCGAAAGTACTGAAATAAGTTGTGTAACATTTTTGTATTTTTGTAACCACAAACTTTGTTCGCATAGTGATGGTAGAATATCGTACCAGACCAGAGAATATAATATTTTCATTACAGCCCTTCACGAGTCCACTGCTGAACATAGGCCTACCCCAAAGAATGCCGCAAAGCATTTGTTCATATATTATGTGGGAACTTTATTTAACACATACAGCGAGGAAACGCAGCTAGCGTTCTTGGCACGATACCACGGGAGTAGGGCTGTATGATAATTTAAATTATTAGTTTTAGTTTTTTTTCGATTTATTATCGTTTTTAATATTGTATTTTTAATACAAGATTAATAATAATAAACTAGAAATTTATTTTAAAGGATTAAATGAGAAATGTAACTGGCTAATTCAATCTAATGCTTTAATCCGCACAATCTCTTTATATAAGTATTATCTACTTGTTTTCAAAACATAGAATTGCATAGGTATGCAAATTGTCTTTCGTATTACACAAACAGATTTGTTCTCCATTAAATTTCCAGTGTAGGCATTGTGTAACAAATGACATTGATCTTTCGATGCACCGTAATACGAGTGAAATAAGCAACGAACTCTAAATTTACGAGTTCGTTGGAAATAAGTCACATTTATGTTTTCAGTTGCATAAATTACTTACGTGGTAGTGCCACGCTACAGCTATATTATGGTTGTAGCATGAATGGGTCGCCTCGACCGGGGGAGGACCACGCTCTCACTGAATACCAGCGTGAAATAGCAGCGTAATGCTGTTGTGTTTCGTATGGTATGAGACTCTTTTTAGTGGAAACGAAGCATTCCATCTTAATCCTCAGGGTGACAACGCATCTGCATCTTGATTCTTATTCAAGGATAAATGTAGATGTCTATGGCCAGTTTCCACTTCCCATCAGGTGGACTGTGCTCGCTTGTCACCCTATACTATAAATTTTATTTTTTATTTTTACTACCTTTACTTTTCAATTTTAATTTTAATACCATTACGATAAAGTACTAGACCGTGAAGTGGATACTGGATTCCGATGATATACCGTTACTATAGTTTTTGAAAATACGAGTAAATAAGGCTTCTAATTTTATTTGAAATTATCCCAAATTGCATGTGCTTTATGGGCAACAACGTTTTTGTCTATCGATCGACCCTTACGAATATGTGCGTGCTCAGTTGTATGTATAAATAATGTATTACCACGCATTTTGATTTTAAAAGATAAAAAGGACTTAATTTTTCTTCGCCATTTGCCTATATTACTAATTCTGAATTTTCTCTGGAAATTTAGCCGGTTATTGCAAAATAACTCTGTATAACATGACACATTGATAAATCCCACCCAGGCAAAGTCGGGGCGGGTCGCTAGTTAATCATATCACCATAATATATATTTGTTTCTACTTCTGACTAATAATTATTTAATCATGGATTATTTTGTCTACAGGCAGTGAAAGCCCAACAAGTGCTGTCGGTGCGGAGGCCCCTCGGGAACTTCCCAATGAATTGTCCGCGCCTTACGAGGTCCCGCAGTTCCCCATCGAACAAATTGAAAAGAAGCTTCTTATACAAAGGCAGCTTAACGTGAAGTGAGTTAATAATTATTAAATAATTGCTATTTTTGTACAACTCTTTTTAAGTTCTTTACAAGTATGTAGCAAAAGAATTCTTTTATTATTTCAATGTGTCATTGAATTTTGCTTAAGAGGTATTTTTGTAGTGGCTTATGTTATTACAATAGTCTCGCTATGAGATGCTTGGCGTTAAATCACTGTGTAGTGGAAGTAAGAACACCTCTAGGTATCCTACATCATACTGTGGGTGTTGTAAGAGGAGAAAAACAAACCAGGATATGGGCAGCAGCGTCCTTATAACAACTATAGATTAAAAAATGCGAATGCCAACCTGCTATCAAGCATGACAGATAAGGCAAATATCGCCTATGTCCAGCTGTGGACTTTTGGTAGGCGGTAAAGGTAACAGTAACAGTAATGTGTTTTAGACAAATGAGCACACATTCTAAATCATATTACTAAACTATATTTTTATACGTGGTAGGGCCATGTTGCAGTTATGTTAGTATTATAGTACCTATATAGTTGTAGCACGAATGGGTCGGCTCGTCCGGGGGACCACGCTCTCACAGAATACCAGCGTAAAATAGCAGCTTAAAACTGCTGTTTTGGTGAGTGTAGAGAACCGGAGACCCTTTTTACTGGAAAAAAGGCATTCCATCTTAGTCCTCACGGGTGACAACGCATCTGCATTTTGATTCGCAAACGAGGATAGATGTAGATGTCTATGGGCCACAGCAACCACTTACCATCAGATGGAGACTGTGTGCTCGTTTGTCACCTTATCCTATAAAAAAACTAGCTGTACCCTGCGACTTCACCCGCGTGTAATTTAGGGTTTTAATTTTACTGCGCGTAACCCTAATTCTTTTTCTAAAATATAAGTAGCCTAAGTTACTCCTTATAACATCAGCTATCTGCCAATGATTGTCCCGTCAAAATCAGTCAGGCCATTTCCGAGATTAGCTGGAACAAACAGATAGACAGACAACAATTTTAAAAATAGTGTTTTTGTTGTAAGTACCGTATATACTTTCGTACGCATTAAGTAAAAAGCTGTTATTTTGACATTACAAACAGACACTTCAATTTTATTTATTTGTATAGATGAGTGGTGACTGGCGTTCTAAAGTATACATATATGCATTATCAGTCCTGAGGACTAAGATGGGAAGTCACGTTGCCAGTTTTGAGATATTACTAATTGTAATTTGAAACCTGATTCTGTTTTACACTGGTGTACGTAGATTATTTCCTCGTACCCATGACGCTTATAGGAGCTGCAAAAGCTGGTGATATTTAACTTGTTTCTTTTGGATCTCCTGAAGTTTTTAGTTTGTTTTATGATAATAATATGTCGGTCACTGTCCAATAGTACAATTTTCTCCTGATCTAATAGTTGTCTGGAAGACCGAATAATTATACCTACCTCCTAAGTTTTGCTCCCTGTAATCGGTTTTTTATTAGTTTTTGTGGTTTACAATAAAGTAGATATATATGATAATAATAATGTATCATGCTATTATTAGTCCATTATACGTAATTCTGAAACTCTGAAATGACGGCTCCGTGGCGCAGTGGCTTAGCAATCAGTTGTTGCGCTGGGGGCCGCGGGTTCGAATCCCGCACGGTACAAATATTTGTATGGCCTACAAATAATTGTTCCGGATCTGGATGTTTGTCCTTGTGCAAGTTATGTTTGTAAACTGCCTCCACTACACAGGAGAAAATCCTAATGTGGGGGTAACATTTTAACAAAAAAAAATTCTGAAACTTGTGTCGCCGCCAAAATATCAAAGTATCAATTACTTAAATTTGTAGCAAATTTTATTGGTTATAAAATGTTTTAAAATTAATAAATTGAAGAAGATCAGACTTCACTACCCCATATTATCATCTCGTGGGTGTCGTAAGGGACAACAGAGGGTAATGATATTTGGGATGGGCAGCAGCATCGTCCTGATAACAACTCGAAATACCAAAAATACTGCACGTTGTCAACCTGAATGCCAAAAGTAGCAAATATGGCCATGGTATTTATTCTTACTATATTAACAATCGAGATAGAGGAAGATGAAAACAACAGTTTAGAACACCTATTATCTCTACAGTTATTTGTCTAGACAAAAGCAAAGTAAATAGAAACATTACCACTCGTAGATACAAGTTAATATAAATATTTTTAAACACAGGTTTCGTGTTTACGTACAGTCCTGCTTCTCTTTGTGTTAGCAGATTATGACAAAATTTACCGTCCTAGATGTAAGTTAAAACAGTTGCGAGTCGGTATTATTAGTGTCAAGTAATTGGATTAACCTTGACGCGATATTAACCCTTAATGCGGGGGATGCTCAAGTCCATTCGCAATATGATTGCATTTCGGAACGCAGCCCGGGACGGCTGTACGCAGACGTGTCGTGTGTCACTTTTAAATCATCACTTTTTTTTAAAAGTTATCGCACTTTAGTGGCGGGAACCGGGAAATGGCTCTGGTTTTTAGTTGTAAGAACTACTAAATTAAATATTTGTAGTTATTATTGTGCACTGAACTATTTTTTACATCTGGAAAATTATGTTTGGAAGTAAAGTTGATTGTAAAAGATGGACGTCGACGAGAAATTATCGGTATGTTATTACTATTTTAAAATGTATTTAAAGCGGGAAATGATAACATTTGACTTTTGTATTTTTTTGTTGTGTTGGTAGTGACATTCAGCCACCTCAATTTAATATTATCTGTATTTATATATTTTGTTCTCTTGATGACATTTATGTACTTTTACCTAAAAGGAGTCATACTCCTATCACATAGTAAAAAAAATGCTTTTCATTTTCTTTCAAAAAAAATATCAGAGTATATAATCACTGCGTCTTAAAAATATTCCTGTTAAGTCAAGACCTGAGATGTAACACTAACACGTTGGAAAATGCTTCTCATATTTTTTTTTAATTTACTTGAAACCAGTCGGTAAGGTTGATGGTTATTTTCTTAGAGATACCTACACGCTGTGTGAACCGGTGCTTTGTCTGAAAGAAGGAACAACCGCTTGGTCAAATTTCCTCATGTTTATGCTTTAATCTTCTTAATCCTACTTATGTTTCAAAGAAAGCGACGTTTCGAGTTCGATTTTCGCCAACACAAATAAGTGTAATCGCAATTTTGAATGCTGTTTTACTACACACTCAGCGATGAAAAACATCGTCAGGAAATATGTGGTACCTATCTAAGAAATTAAAATAAAGTTAATACCCTCCTCCAAAATCCTTTCAGAAATGTGAGGAGGCTTAGGCCCAGCTATAGGAGATATGTAGCATGCTGTAGTCGATATTTATGAACAAAATAGAAAGAAGTAAAATTACTTACGTAAAATTAAGTCTTAATATATCCCACTGCGGATCAAATGCCTAGTCTCAATTCTAAAAGGGTTATGGACCAATAAAATTGGTCCGCCGCGCTGTACCGCTGCGTTTGGAAGACTTCACATGTCCTATAATTATTTTATTTCTTAGATATGCCGTTCCCTCCCGATGTTTTCCTTCACCGCCGAGTACTTGGCAATTTCATTGGTATCGGCGGGGATCGAAACCAGATGTTCTCGTACTGTGAATTATCATCTCTGAGATACCGCGACTGCAAAGTATGGAAAAGAAATTATTATAATATAAAATTTTAAAATCTATACATCTATACAAATAAATAAAATTGAAGTGTCTGTTTGTAATGTCAAAATTGCAGCTTTTTACTAAATGCACACGAAAGTATATACGGTACTTATAACAAAAATATTTTTTTTTAAATTTTTGTCTGTCTTTGTGTCTGGCTGTTTGTTCCGGCTAACCTCCGAAACGGCTGGACCAATTTTGACGGGACTCACTGGCAGATAGCTAATGTCATAAGGAGTAACTTAAACTACTTTTATTTTAGAAAAAGAACTAGGGTTCCGCGCAAAAAAATTAAAGCCCTAAATTACACGCGAGCGAAGTTGCGGGGAACAGCAAGTATACAATAAGACAATAACAAAAAATCTAGATTGAATACAATCACCAACGTCTGTCATTCTGTCCGATTACAATCTGGGTGTCTTCAATACAAGAGTGAATAGGTTTTTGTTACTCAGAGGTATTACGATTTATCATCTATGGCTTCCTCATCATTTACCACCAGATGGAATAGAAGTCAAGCACTAGCTTTATTAAAAAAATGCACGTGTTTAAAGGTATATAATTTATATCTAAATTTATTTGATTAACCTTACTGATAAAAATATATAAAATCGATTTTTATCTACTAAACAAATAACTAAACTGTGACTAATTTTACTTCGTATAGCGTATGTAACGTATTTTATGAGTTTACGAGTATGGTAAGTTATGACGTTGTTTAGCCTGTGCACACAAGGTCGTAAAATATACTACGTATTGCGCTTTACCTTTTTATACTGTGTACAGTGCCCTTTGTGCACACTGTACGGACATTAAAAATACACTTACGTATAATCGAAAGAACACCATACATGTTAGTGAATTTAGACTAATTTATATATATACTGAATAGTGTTGACATGAAACCGAAAACAAAGAATTTTTGTATGTTTGTTTCATCGTTTTCTATGCTTTCCTATACCACTCACTCGATTATTAAGTGGCGAAGCTTGCGAAGTCACTTATTGATTTCACGATGTCTGTCTGTCTGTCCGTCTGTCCGTCTGTCCCACGATTATCTCGAGAACGGTTTCGAATTTTCAAATTCTGTTTTCAGCAATCGATTACTGATCACCCAGGCATCTGAACCTCCTATTTTGAAACTGATTGCTCAACGGCAACCGTTAGAAACCGCTACAAAGCTGATTGCTTCGCCACTTTGCTATGCTGTTAGCTTGCTAGGTTTATTATAATCGTGATACTTAATCGATTTTGTAGGTCGAGGTTACTGCGTAAAATTATTACTGATTATAAACACAAATAACATCCGTATAATAAGCTTTACAAAGTTCCCTAGGTGTTAGGTGGTGATA